ATTAAAACCAACCGTGCAAATGAATAAAATAGATAGTTTTTATTGTGGCCACAGAAGAGAAAAAATCCATTGGACAAATAAATTAAAGTATAAGTCCCGGGTACAACATCGGAAAAGTCATCGACCACCTTTACTGGAATGCCTGGAATCAGAGACATATATACACATATATGTCTCTGCTGGAATCAAAGGCACTTGTTTCAGAAAAAAAATACAGGAAATTTTTTTCCGAGACAAGTGCCTGTGCCTGGAATCTGCCGTGTATTACGCTACACTAAAACAAAGTGTAGTAGTCAGCCGAGAACTAGACTGGTACTCGGCCGTTATTGAAAATCTTGACAATTAAAATATTTGTATATTCCGAAGGCATACTGAATATTTTACGGAGGGAACCAACCTAGCCGAGAACCAGTTTACGACCCTAGCCTGGGATCCTGGCTCACTGCTTGACAGTAGACGAAGTATTAGATTGGGTCAGGATGCCAGGCTACTTACGACCCTTAAAAATACCGGAAACTTGTCTTCCTCCGTTATTGGATTACGTTTTCAATACAATTACTACATCCGCAATAAGAAAGCCCGGAGCCCGGCGTGTAAAACCCAAAAGGATTTATTTACTCTTTATTTGCCTTATTCATTATATATTTAGGTAAATAATCCAAAAAATTACTATTTAATTAATAGATGTTTCCATTTTTTCTCCCAATAGGAAGAGACATATCTTTTTTAAGATTCATTATAGATAACTTTCATCAAAATATATCCATAACGTGAGGGTACCCAAATTGCACCTTTTTTTGCCATTTTTTTTCACCTACGTTTATTTACGATCTAGACAAAAGTTTCCATTCTGTGTTATTTTGTAGATGTATCTCTTTTTACTATATAGTTCTACCAATTTTATTTTGAATCCATATTGAATCATCATGATCATAGGTTAATATTTACTTTTATTTAATGGAGAAGCCTCCTGTTTTACTGAGTGGAGTTAGTAAATCACTCAAGTATGAGGTCAACTCCTTACCGGAAGAAGAAGAAGAAAAATGGGTTTGAACCAACCTCCAAATGATCCATGATTCTGTAATGAGGAGTACCCAATTTGCATCCATGCTTAAATTCACATCTGTAAAATTTGAATAACTGTTTTGTTTTATTTCTCCAAATATTTAGAGCAATTTGACAATACTTATTGTTAATTTTTTGAAGAAATGGATGCCTGTAACATATTTTAATTGCTCATTTTTAAAAGTTACCTTTTCAAGATTTTTTGGACGTCGCCATCCAACGTTTTCTTAGATTTTACTTTTTCCAGTAAATACTTCATCTGTTGATATATACTGTGAATGTTTTATGTATATCTAAATATATTTAGCTATGTTGAAAGACGTACATAATGTCAAATCATAAAAATACAAATTGTTTGGTCTCTATGTAAGATTTCCACTGCTATTTTTGCTAAATGGGTGCAATTTGGGTACTGTGATGTTAACTGTACCAAGTAACTTTTCATTTTCGACTAAATATGTATGTTTGACTCAGAGATTCAAAGGGGACGCTGAAGTGCAATGGTCAGCTCCGAAATATGATGGTCCTTTTGCTGAAGTGCGATGGTCCATGCCGCAACATTTGTGCAACATGAGCTAAGGTGATGTTAAAATGCATGATGAATGACAATTTGGAATCGATAATACAAACTATGATATATTTTGTTGTAATAAAAATTCATCAATCATTAAGTATAGTTATTCCTTAAAATTAATTACATTTGATGGCCTTTCATTACTTACATATTGGCACATTATCATGGTTATTACAGTTTGCCATGATGCTTGAACATGTTGAATATTGTGACGTTTTCAAAAATACAAAATTGATTTGCAGAAAGAGGATAAGTTTTGTAGATGAAGGTTTCTTGCTAACAAAGGAAAGGAAAAAGAAAGTAATGAACAATTTAAGTCTGGAACAGTTTTGAGCAGTGCATATGGAGACTACGAAAATATATAAAAACAAGTCAGGCAGCACATCATGGGGAGCAAAGTAACTGAAAGTTGACCTTGGTCTGCAGATGGGCAAAACTAGAATTAGGAAGTATGCTGCAAACTACAAATAAAATGTTTTGATCTAAATTTTGATTTTGACTTTTCTTCAAGTATGCTCCACATGTTTTTGTGTGGACAATTTAATGATAAACTTAATTATTAGCAATGTTTTCATCATATTTATATCAAGTCGAGATAGTATTGTTTCATTCTTGAGATGAATCCTGCTTTTATAAAAAGAAACCAACAGCACCTTAAGCCTAATTTGTATTGTGCTTATACATGCAGTATTAAACCTTCTGAACAGGTTAGACCAAAATAAACCTGACTGGTCCCTAGGTGTACTCCTGCTAAGCGGAAATGATGCTAATGTTTAAGTTTTTGGTGGAACATGTGACAACTCTTGATATAAATCAAGCATAAATGTACTTGGCAATTTTTATTTCATGAACACTGTTCTGACATCAGATAAATGGATGAAGGATGGTTGTGAGCAATTTCTGAGCCATGTCATGGCGAGAATAAGTTATATTCAACAACATGAGATGGACCCTGCTTAGTACTATAGCCACGCTGAACCCTTTTTTATATCGCGCTTGGACACTATAGTTACAGTCCATATAAAGACATGTCATCCAATGCGAACCCATTATACTGAATCTGCCATCCAGTCTACTTTATGACTCCATACTGCTGTGTCCTAAGTGCAGAATTAGCAAATTTGAATTTTAAAGTCTTTGGTTTGACCTGACCAGAAATCAAACCCTATCTTCCACATGCAAGTGTAGCATGCTAACCACTACACCACCATGCACATTTAATGTGGTTCTGATTTCAGACAATTGCATTTTATTTAAGCTAGTAGACACCATCACCTTTCATTGTAACAATCAACTTCAACATCACAGTGAGACCATCACACTTCAGCGTAGCTACATGAATCAACAAGTTAGCATCACAATATCACTATCATGCTTCATCTTGTTAACCAATGCACTTCAGCATGACTATTGCAGTTCAAGCACCATCGCAGTTCAGAGTCCTACTTACCGTATATGTATTAACATCAATGCACATCACATATCCAATAGCTGTTAATAAAACATTCTGTCAAGTGCTCCTTCAGTTTGAATACATGAATATGATTATGGAAAAAAAGTTCAGAATATTGAGATCTACATACTGTCTATTAAGTGTGTCAGACCACTTCTCACAGGAGTAATTGCCCTTAAAAGACAATTAAAAAAAAAAAATTGCCTAATATCTTGAAAACTATAATGCATAAACAGAAACTTTAAATAGCAAAAAGATCAGCAAGACGAGCTTCAAATAAGTCAACTTTTTTTGAGTTATTGCCCTTTGATGATGATTTTTACTAATTTTTTGCTATTTTGCCTATTATCTTAAAAACTATAATATATGCATATAGATAGAAATTTTAACACTTCTCACAGGAGTAATTGCCCTTAAAAGACAATTAAAAAAAAATTGCCTAATATCTTGAAAACTATAATGCATAAATAGAAACTTTAAATAGCAAAAAGATCAGCAAGACGAGCTTCAAATAAGTCAACTTTTTTGGAGTTATTGCCCTTTGATGATGATTTTTACTAATTTTTTGCTATTTTGCCTATTATCTTAAAAACTATAATATATGCATATAGATAGAAATTTTAAAAAGCAAAACTGATCCACAAAGCAAGATCTACAAATAAGTCAATATTGCTGAAATCGTTGGTCAACTCTTTATAAGAGCTAGTGTTTGCAATAGTCCCTATTATCTTAAAAACTACATGTATGATAGAAAGATGGAAACTTTGAAAAACAAGAAGGATCAACAAGACGAGATCTGCAAAGAGATCATCATAGATAAAATTGTCAATTGTCTTCTTATTGGAGTTATTTAACCCCTGTAATTAGGGATCAATTTTATTTTCAGTTGCTTCCTTTAGACAGACATAAATTTTCATTGACAAGAGAGAACTTGCATAATGACTAAATTTATCTGTGCATTATGTCATAATCTTTAGGTTTTTCATTCCATTTCATCTTTCGATATCAGTATGGTTCTTGCATGAGTAGATGTAAGGTAAAGACTTTCAAGTACCGATTCACTATTTAAGCAAAATTGTAATTCAATTTAAAGAACATTCAAAGATTCATTGAAGAAAAATCAGATCAGTATTAAAAAGAGTAGGTTAGATAAGGCCATACAATGGCCCCTATTTCTAGCTACAATTTTAAACTAGGATTTTTTTTACCAATATCAAAATGAATCATAACTAATACAATTACTTGATAGGAAACGTCTTTTTTTGAAAATTACTTGCATTTTGTTGATCACGTCATAAATAGCGCTCATTTTGATTTTCCATGAAAATTCAATGAAAACGGGTAAATTTCCATTGGTTTTTTGGACAGGAAACATGGATCGCATGCGTCGACAAACAAAATCTCTTAACATAATGTTTGTTATAACATTTTACATATCTGACTTGAATATTTAGTTTGTCTGATGACTGCACTAATCTATGTTTCCTAGACGTTAATTTGGTTGAAATCTAGACGATATTGTCATATTTTGCAAAAATCTCTTATTTTATGCCTATAGCCATGATAAGGGACGTAAAAATCGATGCTTTACTATAAACCTGTGACAAAAATAATTCTATTTAACTTTCTCACATGTCTTTTCATCAACTTAAAATAATTTTTATCTTGAAACATTGAACTTAATAATTGGGACCAAATATGGCCCTTACCAAACTTACTACTAAAAAAAGATAATTGCAGTTGAATAAGAGATTGTGTAAAAAAAGTACCTGTGATGATTTTGTATGTAGTATATTTTTATATACATGATATACATGTAAATGCAGGCCTGTTATTGTATTGTTTTGAAACGGGATTATTTAGCAACTAACTACCGGTAAGCTTTTTCTTTATTTATTTAAGAACCCACTGATACTTAACATGGATTATGACACGTATGATGACATGTATGATGAAGATATGCTTCAGGATATGATGGCACAATATGGTGACTACGAATTTGATGATGTTGAAGAATATGCAAGAATACCTTTCAAGGAACTAATTAGCAGCTGTGTCATTCCAACCATATCACAAGCATCACATTCATTGTTTCCAATATATTTGATGTGTTTTGTATTCAAATCAACTCTGTATTTAGGAGGCTCAGGTATGCCTTATATTTTTGATCGTGAAATGCTTCATAACATTTTACTTTTAAACTTTGAATTACTATTCCAAACCTATAGAGACTATGTTGAAACTAAAAAAAAATCCAAACATATGTAAATATTCTCCTCTGAAAAAGCATGGGTACTCAGGCGGAAACCCAGTTGAAATTAAACAAAAGAAATGGATTTTTGTTAGAGAAGGTAAAAAAGGTCAAGTTGGTAAATTTGAATTGTTTACATCTGTTTCTATGGGCTTTAAAAGTTTAATGAATGATCCTAATTTAGGATTTTATGCGTCTTATGTATGTGGTTTTACTTAAATTATGGTACAGAGCTTCGAGATATTTGTAAACTTTTAAATTATAGACAAATTTTCACAAAACAGTCGATTGTAGTAGGTGCAAATACATGTGGATTTTTTTTGTGCATAAGAATGGATTACACCGAAAAAAATTCCAACGAAAGATAATAGATTGATCTTTTTAAAGCAATAATTTGCATCTCTGCCCCCAGCGACAGTTTTTTTGGAAAAAATCCCCAAAATAGGCAATAATTTCATCAAAAAGAGAAAGTCGAGTACACCTTTTTATGTTCTGGCGTGTTTGAGTTGACTATTCTGTCTTTAAAACGTATAAAAGAAAAATATTTGATACATCCTCTCGCTTCAGATTCTATTATTTTTATATATTTAGGCTCTACGTTGATATAATAACATAATGAATTTACAGTACTAAAAAAATGAAATATATGGGTCAAGTGAAATACCTTTCTAATGAGTCATAACAACAGAGTAGGTGTGTTCGAATGACAAATTTTTACTAAAAGTACTTGACGACAGACTTTTCAAATGGATCTTAAAAATGCATAACTTCAAAAAAACTTAATTTTTTGTGTGTGTTATCTAGGGTAATTAGTCTTCAACCTCTGAATATTTTTAGTCTGCCCTTACACGAAATATTTAATTAAATATTTTTTTTATATTTTTGAACTTTCGAAAATTCCCCCTGACAACCGATCAGACAATAGTTTTAAGTTGACCAAATGCATAAAAGTACATTAGTACATTAAATGATGCTCAATAGCTAGTAGATACATTTGGCTTTTAAAATACAACTGGCATATAAGGATCGTAATGATGCTATGTGGATAAATTTATCGGTTTTCAGGAGCTAAATTGACAGCGCGTCATCACTACGATGGCTACCATTTTTAGCTTATGCCATCACTTGGCGTCCGTCGTCGTTCGTCGTCGTCGTCGTAAACTATTTCAAAAATCTTCTCCTCTGAAACTAATGGGCCAAATACCTTCAAACTTTAACTTAATGTTCCTTAGGGTATCTAGTTTATAAATTGTATCCGAAGTTTTGATCCATCGACAAACATGGCCGCCATGGCTAAAAATAGAAAATAGGGGTCAAATGCAGTTTTTGGCTTATATCTCAAAAACTAAAGCTTTTAGATCAAATCTGACATGGGGTAAAATTGTTCAATTGGTCAAGATCTATCAGCTCTGAATTTTTCAGACGAATCGAACAACCCATTGTTGGGTTGCTGCCACTGAATTGGTAGTTTTAACAAAATTTTGCAGTTTTTTGTTATTATTTTGAATATTATTATAGATATATATAAACTGTAAGCAGCAATAATGTTCAGCAAAGTAAGATCTACAAAAAAGTTAATTTGACCATATTTGTCAATTGACCCCTTAAGGAGTTATTGCCCTTTAAAGACAATTTTACACAATTTGTTCATCAAGTTTGCTAACATTTAAAAATCTTCTCCTCTGAAACTACTGGGCCAATTACCTTCAAACTTTAAATAAATGTTCCTTAGGGTATCTTGTTTATAAATTGTATCCGAAGTTTGTATCCATCGACAAACATGGCGACCATGGCTAAAAATAGAACATAAGGGTCAAATGCATTTTTTGGCTTATATCTCAGAAACTAAATCTTTTAGAGCAAATGTGACAGGGGTAAAATTGTTTTATTGGTCAAGATCTATCGGCCCTGAAATTTTCAGACGAATCGAACAACCCATTGTTGGGTTGCTGCCACCGAATTTGTAGTTTTAACAAAATTTTGCAGTTTTTTGTTATTTTTTTGAATATTATTATAGATATATATAAACTGTAAGCAGCAATAATGTTCAACAAAGTAAGATCTACAAAAAAGTTAATATGACCAAAATTGTCAATTGACCCCTTAAGGAGTTATTGCCCTTTAAAGACAATTTTACACAATTTGTTCATCAAGTTGGCTAACATTTAAAAATCTTCTCCTCTGAAATACAGGTGAGCGATTCAGGCTCTTGAGAGCCTCTTGTTACAGTTATAAAAATTAGGTGGTGTAATAGGGAGATAGTTTTGACGAAGTAGAATCCTGACTACTTGGGATTAAAATTCATATGAATCTTCTGTATGGGTTATACTTTAAAGGTTTATCCAATGACACGGTAAGCAAACCAAATTGCTAATGAACAGAACATTGGGTTAAAATCAACAAAAAGATCAATTAAATTGTGTCTAAAGTCCTGTAAGGGACCACTTGATGCATTTGTGAACCCCTTTAAGAATTATGGTTAATGACACTACTCACCAAGTAAAGCTTCCACTGTTTCTAACATTATAAAATGTAACAACAAAATTGAAGAACAGAATTATCATGTGGAAGAAAAATTTCTACCTACTTTGATGAAAAGATACTTTTGAGATTATCTTTAAGAAAAATTGTTAGTTACCATAACTGCTCTAAACATGGTTGCCACAATTACGCAGATAAAAGTTGGACCAAAAATGGGACATGGTCATCAACCACAATTTCAAAAAGGGTCATATATATACCCAATTTGAAAGCAATAAATTTGTTTTTTCTAAAATTCACAAATATATGTTATAAAAACATTAATATTGTTATATTAGTGGTATGTATCCAGCCCTGGGATTTACTGTGAGATTTGAACACAAGAAGTTATGGCACAGTAAGTGTTTGCTCTAACAACTGAGTCAACTAGCTCACTTCGAACAGGAGCTTGTTATTTTATGAACTTGGCACAATTCCCACTGCTTATGATGAATAAAAATAAAACCCTAATGTAACAAAATATTACGTTAAATGATTGTTTACTCATGGCTGTATACTATAATTTGTACATTGTAGATAATAAAGGAGAATCTTTTATGCCATCTTGGTTCCCACATCTTACCAGTGCAATATTTGGTGGAATGGCTTTATATTCCATATTTGAGAAGAACATTGTGTATATATTAGTGTGTGGTGTTCTGGGATATGTAATACTACTGATGTCATATCGAAGTTGTCGATCGTATTCTGGAGCTGTAATGTCCTTGTTTATTGTGACTTTTATTGTACTTTGGTGAGTAAATGCTACCAATACATAGACTCTACCACTGCATTGAGTGAGATATGATACTTCTCCTTTTGAGAAAGTGTAATTTACAAAAATTAAAGTTTAAGGCTTGCAGAGCATTTTAGATATTTAGAATTTGACTAGTGTGGAAAATTTCTATATTGCAAATTAAGAACTTTAGTTGATATGTAGACAAATTTTTACATTCTTTAAAATTATCTGAAAAAATAGTTTTTCTCAATGAGATGTTACTGGCAATAGTTACCTTTTTTCCATGACATTTTTATAGCAAAACAGTGGCAAGCATTTTATCAACTAAGATGTTACTATTTTTACAGTGAACTTGTTTTGGTACAGAGAAAAGATTGGCATAATGTTCGAGGTAAACTATTTACACTTAGCAGTAAATTCTATAACCATAGGCACAGATAAAGATAAAATCTACTGAATACCTTGTTGATTATGATACATACCGGTATATAATCTATAGACTACAAGTGGTTCAAATAATCTTTATACTAGGAATATTAATATTCAAATGATAATTATATCTAACGTCTTAAAAAATTGCCTAATAATCTGAAGGTCACCAGGAGAACTGCAGGTGTTATCAAGACAAAACTAATAGTGAATAATTTACAAAACTATCCAATGAATATCATAAAAAAAACAAATGTTACCCACAATGCAACAAAAATAAAAAAATCTCATTGCACTTTTCAAATAGTTTATGAAATCATCAAATCAGCACTGCGTTGCCACCTGTATTGGACTTATTGCTGAATAATAACAATTATGCTTCAAAAATAAATTGTTTATTACATTATTGAATTGAGAAAACAGGAAGGTATAGGGTAATGAATTCGGGAAATGTCTGTAAAATATATTTCATCAATTTTATATCAAATTTTTTTTTTTTTTATAATTTTATATTGATATAATTTGGTGAAACAAAAACTTGGATTTTAGAAATACAAAGTAAAACGTACAAAAAAAGGAAACTATATTAGTGCTACACCAAAATCAAATGTAGAGGGTTGGGGGGTTATAGAAGACACTTTTTTCTCCAGACCCCCACTTAAATTTTAGTCAGAAATTTAATGCATAATTATGTAAAAAAAACTTTGAACCTCTTTTCTGTATACATGTAATATTAATATAAGGATCCTTTCTACCTTCCATTCAAATAATTCTAGAATGACACAAAGTTTCTGCAGCACATTACCTTAGTCAATATTTCCGGCCTTTTTTTAACAAATAAAATAAGGGCTTTGAACAATATTTATATATTTGTGTCCTTTGCTGTATAACTGTAGTTCTTGGTTTATTGTTAAGAAAGTATCTTCTTTTCTTCTAAAAGAAAATACTTTCATAACGATAAAATTACTTTTCAGGTGCACAGATAATTTTATCCATGAAGTTGATTGGCTTAGCATTTGACATATCAAGTGAAAAAACAGATATGCCTAGAGCAGATAGTTACTTAGGTTATGTGTTCTGTGTTGGCACAGTTATATTTGGTCCTTGGACTAGTTACCATGACTATACAATAGCAGTTCATCAGAATATCACAAGAGGTTTTGTAAGTTAAATTTTATTAAGGTGAAATTATAATTGTGTTTAACAATGTTTTCAAATACTGATTCATGCAATACAAACCCAAACAAACTAAATATGAAGCTTCAATGTGAAGGTGCTTGAAAAAAAAATAAAAATCTTTTGGACAAATGTAAAAAATAGTTAAACAGTCAATCAGCTGTCTTTTGAGGAGTAAGATTATCAATACATGTAACACTATTGCACAGACAAGTAAATTAAAAAACAAGATCTAGAGATCATGCAACCACACATGAATATATAAAGATAATATAGTACAAAATATCTATAAAAACAGAAATAATTTTCTTTACTTAAAGACTTTCTCAATTTGAATGGTCAGGTAGTTGTTTGTCATGATTTTGTTTAGGTATTTGTCTTGCAATCCTTATATACATTCTTAAATGGAATAGCCCCAACTGACCTAGACAATTAGGCCACTAAGACTCTATTTAAATGATGAAGGATAAAGACCAATCTCGATTGTTATAGAATGTTTGTAGACCTCTCAATGTCTTTTCTGTTTTTATGTTGCTTAGGTTATGGTATGATTAATGTATACCACAGTTTTTTGTTTTTGCCTTGACCGAGTCAAAAAGATAGACATATGCATGCTGTTTCCAGCGTCGGCAGCAGAGTCAACATTGTATTAGTTTGTGATTAGGTCAGTTTCTGTGGAATTTGTTGACACTGCTGCCGACTCTGGAAACAGTGTCAACTATGTATTAGCTTGTGATTAGGTCAGTTTCTGGGGAACCACTAGTGGTAGGTCAATGATATCTGGTATGCAGTTGTATCAGCATTGGCACATCTTATTTCCATGGAGATTATTTGGCCCAACCCTCTCAGTCATGGACTATTGACTTTGAAACTTCGCTTAGTTTACATGTATTAGTTTGTGATTAGGTCAGTTTATGGTGAACCACTAGTGGTAGTTATTGGTATTTAGTATGCAGCTGTATTAGTGTATAAGCATTGGCACATCTCATTTCAATGGAGATTATTTGACCCTGCCCCCTCAGTCATGGTCTATTGACTTTGAAACTTTTGCTAGTTTAGATGTATTAATTTGTGATTAGGTCAGTTTATGGGGAACCTGTAGTGGTTGGTCAATGATATATGGTATGCAGTTGTATTAGCATAGGCACATGGAAATTGCTTGGCCATCAGTCATGGATGTTCATTGACTTTGAATATTTTGCATAACTTACATGTTTAAGTATTGCTATTTTAATTTCAACATTTGCATTGGCATTTTACTATAAAAATAATAAAAAGGTAAGACATATCTCTGTGTTAATAGTTTATTTATTTATGCACACGAATTGTCAAAGTTTAAACAATTTCCGAAGCGAAAATAGTTGCAGAAACTGTTTCTGTAGGGAAAGTAGTTATTGTATCTGTATTTTTGTGTTTGCCAAACACAAAACTAAAAGAAAGGACAAGGTATGATAAGCTATTGCAACTGGCCCCCTATTTTTCTCAAAATTAAAATGAGTAAAACCTGTTCAATCTCACACTATTTAAAAGTTTATTATCAAATCCTTTTAAAAATCAAGATAACTGTCATGATTATGTGTGTTAAAATGATTAAATGCCTCACTCTTTTTCCCTAAATACGTGAATTTAATCGAAATCGTGATTTTTGTGACCCTTCCAGCACAATTTTAACTATGAGCGGACGCGAGTACCACAACGATATTTGTGTGTGTTGTTTGTTGGAAACATATGTTTTACTGTTTTCAATATAATCGTGGTACTCGCGTCCGCTCATAGTTAAAAAATAACATTTCCCCCAAAAAAATATGCCTGTTTTGACGGATGATAAGAATATATATAAACCAAGGACCGGATCGGACTTTCATTTCCGAATCTGCATTCTTAGAGCTGAACCTACGATGCTGCATACAAAATTAATTTTTACCGACGAAATGGGATAGGAACAGTTTGTGCGTTAATCGGTAAGTATTCCTTCATGATTTAAGTTAAGAAAATGGTTAAATATTGAGGACGGAGGATATATAAATAGCTTATTAAAAGAAAAGGTTTCAAGTATCAACGGGGCACTGATCCAAATACCGGTATTTTTTCTTGTGCATTCATTTTCCCCCTTTCCCATTTTATGTCATAGTTTGTGGAACTAAGACTATTTATTACTCGATCCTGTTAATTAAATTCAATGTTCAAGCTATGTTTTTTTGAAAGTGAAGTTTCGAAATGCGTACCCAGCGGCCCCTCCCCCCTAAAAACACAATTGAAAAAACACCACATAACGAAATATAATCATCTTCAGAAAGAGACGGTATCAATTTATCTGAAATTATTTGAGATTTATACATTTAATCGAAGTTCATGTACTGTTCTTTAGAAAACAAAGGGGGAAAAAGAAAAATTACGGTCGTGCAGTGCAGCAGACGATTTTCAATGCACGGTAAAAAGATAGTACAGCTAATTACGTCAGAAAAGTTTATTGGATTTTCCCTTAAAGAAATTTTTTAAAGAAATAATCTATGACCTATGCAAAGCCTAAAAAGAAAACATTTAATAGGTATTTAGAAGGACGTTTAATAACATATAACTATGCCTTATTTATAAATACATCTTATTTCCATTAGTAAGTAGATACGTGTTGGTGTTGTAATAGGTTAGCGGGTTACCTGGAGAGCAGAAGATTAGTGGTTCGATACTCAGTAGGGCTGAAATTTTTGGGGATATGTTTTGCACTATCATATTCGAATACTTATACACATAACATGTAAAATGCTGATATTGATTATTTAGTTATTTTTTTTTGTTTTTTTTATGTGTACACATTTTGAATATAAAAGCGGATCCTATGTTTTTCATAATGTGTCTGCGTAGCGTAATAGACAAGCTCGCATGAATTAATAACATTTTCAATTTATAAAGTATAAGCAGTTAATCTAATAAGTATTCTTAATTTGAATACGTAGATGTATTTTTCCGTATAGACAAATTCTCTGCGTTTTGTAAGAAAAAAGCGGCCGGCACATTTTGTAAAAAAACTTTTTAACATTCTTTTATATAGATTAGATCGTTGGTTTTCCTGATTGAATGGTTTTACACACTAGTAATTTTTGGGGCCCTTTATAACTTGCTGTTCGATGTGAGCCAAGGCTCCATGTTGAAGACCGTACTTTGACCTATAATATTTTTTCTTTTACAAATTGTGACTTGGATGGAGAGTTGTCTCATTGGCACTCATACCACATCTTCTTATATCTATTCAAAATCGTAAATCTCGGTGTCAGCGTATATTTATTATTTGGTTTGTACAAGCAGTTATATATACCATAGAATTCAATCATATTCACACACTTGAGATTTAAAATATCGATCTGAATCGATTTACAGACAAAAGATCGTGGTAGATAAATCTATTTCGGTTAATGGTGTTAAACATCCGGATTGTCGTGACATTTTAATGAGTTACTTTTCCTCTCTTTTTCAGTTACATTTAACAAATGCCACAGAATGACGTAGCATGACCTGCAAGAATATCACGTTTGTACCAAAGTCATAGCAGGTAAATACATACATAGCAATTAAAACAACTAGATATCATTGAGATGGGAGCCATCTCTGTGGGCCCCGCTGTGAATAATGTGTGGTAAAAAATTTTTATCTTTATCATTGGACATGGGTTTGTCAACTGAAACCGCAGTTTATGACCTTGACCTTTGACCTAGGAAGCTGTACATAAATTATGACACACCCTCTGGTGTTGGTTTATATACATGTCAAGTATAAACTTTGAAATCATAACGGTTCTCAAGATATAGAGCGGACACGATCTTTACCATAGGACACGGGGTTGTCAACTAAAACCAAAGTTTTTGGCCTTGACCTTTGACCTAGGAAGTTGTACATACATTATGACACACCCTCTGGTGTTGGTTTATATACATGTCAAATATAAACTTTGAAATCATAACGGTTCTTAAGGTATAGAGCGGACACGATCTTTACCATAAAACATGTAGTTGTCAACTAAAACCAGTTTTTGACCTTAACATTTGACCTAGGAAGTTGTACATACATTATGACTCACCCTCTGGTGTTGGTTTATATACATGTCAAATATAAACTTTGAAATCATAACGGTTCTTAAGGTATAGAGCGGACACGATCTTTACCATAAAACATGTAGTTGTCAACTAAAACCAGTTTTTGACCTTAACATTTGACCTAGGAAGTTGTACATACATTATGACACACCCTCTGGTGTTGGTTTATATACATGTCAAGTATAAACTTTGAAATCATAACAGTTCTCAAGATATAGAGCGGACACGATCTTTACAATAGGACATGGGGTTGTCAACTAAAACCAAAGTTTTTGACCTTGACCTTTGACCTAGGAAGTTGTACATACATTATGACACACCCTCTGGTGTTGGTTAATATACATGTCAAGTATAAACTTTGAAATCATAACGGTTCTAGATATAGAGCGGACACAATTTGTTAAGGACGGACGGACAGACTGATCACTATAGGGCGTCCACCATTCGGCGGGGCCCTAATTATAATTTAGAAAAAAAGATGCAAAATATAAGATACCAAATCGTATGTCGTTCACCTATCCGTTCGATCGTTCGTTCATTCGAATCACAACTAACATCAGAAAGCCTTCTCACCAAATAAAATAGTATGTATCACAGTTGTCATCAGCTGATCCTAATGCTAATCTATCTGAGATTGAGTATTTTGAAAGTTAATTTTTGTAGGAAAAAAGGGGGGGTCTTCAATGGAACCCAATTAGGTTTTTTACAAGTCTATGGATCTCTATGAAATTGTACCACAAGGTTTCCATTACTAGAAAGGAAACCTGGGATTGATTTTGAGGGGCGTGGCCTCGAAACATTTAGGAAAAATTGGCCAAAACGATAAATTCTTTCCAATAACTTGAATAAATTGCTAATTCTGAACAATTTCAATGGGGTTTAATTCCAAAAAAAGTCT